CACTAAACGTCTTTAAACCTTATTCCATTAATTGAGTCGTCCGGAGAGACCAGGTGGACCAATGTGGTGGATTCCGAGGACCGAGCGCGTATCATAGGGTCGTCAACAATTCGAGTTGGCCTTTAAATAGGGTTTTTGTCAATGGTCTCGGTCACCACGCACCCTTAAGCCAACTCCGACACCCTTAGAACAGGTGCAATTAAATGGTCTGCAAACACCGAGGTCACCATCCTGAAGCTTGCAGCCTTGTCCTAAGCATGAGTCCGAACCTGAGGACGTAAAATAATTAGCTAGCTTCAAGAACCAAATGCACTGTAGATCCCAAAGGGTCCAAGTAATAGTATAGTATATATTTTGGGGGCCCAAATACCTACGTACTACGTAACTACTATATCTGAGGGATGGAAGCACAAAGGTAGGGTTTAGGGGTTTAGGGTTGAGGGTTTAGGGTTTAGGAGCTAGATGATGTTGAACCTTCTTCCCGAAACCCTGGACCTATGACGGCTCAACCCTTGAGCCTAGACGGTGGTTTAGGGTTTAAACCTATAGTCACCATTGCAGTTGCTTGTCTGGGCAACCTTACAGTATCCATTTTACACCAAACGAAAGGAACTTGACTGGTGGAGGCTATAGGAAGGTTAGGGTGAGCGTTGGCCTAGCTATGCCCGGGAACCCTAAACTCTCGTCAAGAAAGTGATCAAAGCGTCAGTCTGGATATTTGGAGCACTAATTACAGACCAAAGCACAGGGACAACAACTATGTTTGCGTTTTAAGCCCTTCTTTCAGCCTTGCATGCTTCCTGACCAAAGAAACCGCCACCGCAGCCGAATGCAATGACGGCTAGTTGAACGAGGTTGTAAACTATACTCCACCCGCCCTGTCCCTCCACAACTTGATGCACGAAACCCCAAACCCAAAACCACAAACCCTGATTTATGACAAAAACCCTGAACCCGAAACCTTGCACCCGTATTTACCAATGCCCCCCCAAAAAAAACAGCTGTACATATGTAGATATCCCTAAACCCTAAACCCTAAACCCAAACCCTAAACCCTAAACCCTAAAAGTCTGTACGTTGCATCGAAGGGCTTCTAGCAGGGGTAGTTTTGTGGCAGGCTCGAAGCCCTGAACTTCCGGGTCTCCCGGGCCCCCTGCAGTTTCTGGTTGATTTGGGTTTAGGGTTTAGGGTTTAGGGTTTAGGGTTTAGGGTTTAGGGTTTAGGGTTTAGGGGTTAGGGTTGGGGGAATAAATAATTACCCATACTACTTGGGGGGGTTCCTTCTTATAATTATAGGGCCCTACAGTTTCTGGTTAATTTTTAGGGGCCTAGATAAGTACCAATACTACTTTGGGGGGTTCCTTCTTATAATTTTAGGGCCCTAGAGTTTCTGGTTGATTTGGGGGCCTAAATAATTACCTATCGTATTTTTTTTGGGGGGGTCCTTCTTATGATTATAGTATAGTGGGCCCCAAAACCCTAGTCTAATTATTAATTAAGAGGCCTGCGTTAAGGTTGAGCGCCGTATGCATGTTCAGGACTGGATGGGCGGCAGGGAGAAGAGCTCCAAAGATGTCACCCGGTCGAGATGAGAAGTAGGGACCCATTATAGAGCTTATACGGTATATACTAAGGATTTTATAAGGTATCCCCCAAAAGGAACTACAATGGAGACTACAGGTATAACCCTAAGGGTCCATGTACCCGAATAGTATATACTTTGGCCTTAAAGTAGTCTCTATATAGGTACCTTGGGGCCAAAGTATATACTATTTGGGCACATGGACCCTTAGGGTTCTACAGTGTCTGGGATTGATGGATCTGTGCAGGCCGAGTGTAGAAAGAAAGTCTGAACAGCTTCGACCCGTAGCAATTGGACTGAAAAGCCTTGTCTTGAAGTGACAGACCCTACCTTAACCCTCAAAACGTAAAGTCTTAACACCCTACAACCCTGAAACCCTAAACCCTAAACCTAAACCTTATAAACCGTGCAAGCCCCGTACCTCTTGCTCTTGAGACATTCGCAGGAACCGCCCACTTGCAGTATTTACCATAAACCAAGCATCGCAAATGCTCCAAAGGCCCAAAGAAACAAGCAACAAACTTTAGGGTTTAGGGTTTCCCGACAAGTCATAGGGATTTGGCAGTCAGTGACTTTCTCATAACAAAACGGTACCTAGCGGTCTAACATTGAGCAGCCATGGTGTGTTGCACACTCCACTCGCATGGTCTCATGCGGACTGTGGACATGGAAGCCCTATGAATCTTACAGACGGTTTCGAGCCCTGCGAAAACCTGCATTCCCTAAGCCGTCAGTACTAAACCACTAATGATTAGCAACCCTAAACGCCGAATGACACCAAACCCTCGAACCCGTTGTTCTCCTTGGATCCCAGGATGCTCCAAAATGCGGCAGCTGGCAAGCCTTTCTCGACAAAGCAACTTGATGCCGTTAAGGGGCATGGCATTGGGACCCTGGGATTTTCAGACGGTAGGAGACCCTAATTTTGAACCTAGGATCACAAGATCCTTTTCCTGATTGCAAGGACACTTGGGTGTTCTATCCTTGGTTTAGGGTCAGCGAATCACGGTTTACAGGATTTTGGGCTGTGAAGACCTTCCTCCATCCCCAGCCTTCGAGCCCGATATATCTGCAAATCCGCATTTCCGAAATCCGAAACCAGTAAGTAAGCCCAAGCGGCTAAGCCGGAAAAGCCCTGCACGACAGAGGCCTAGGGGGCTCGGAATTTTTGGCGACATAAAGTGTTGAGCTTTGAGTGCCGTTACCTTTTTGATACGACCCGCATGTCGCCCGACTTACGACCCCTCTTAACCCACCTCGAGCACCAGGGCACCAGGAGGAGGGTTTAAGTTTAAGCAATTGCTGACATTCGTACACCGAGTGCACCAGGTAAGCGAGATGGGTGCAGACGTGCCACGAACGCTGACAAAGAGCGGCGCCGAACAACAAAGGTTTCAGGTCGATAAGGGTCTAGACCTGGACTTGTAGTAGAAGTTATGATTCGTTTCGTACTTAAGTATAGAAGTGCATGATGTTAAAAAACCGTTGGACCCCAGCGACCAAGATTTTTCGGCCGGGGTTGACATTCACGCACATGAATACCGTCCTGTAATACCTTAGCCCCAAAACCCTGAACCCTGAACGGCAACACGCTGCCGACAAACTAGAACCGTATCGTCTCGGTTTCAGCCGATAGTTTGAACCATGCTTTAGATATCTGTGCCACCTTCTTCTTCTAGATGCAGGGTATCCGTAGGATGGCGTTGTCCAAGGCTTGTGCAGAGAATAGTCCTACGAGGCTGATGTATGACCTCATGACCCTAAACCCAGCAGCACTTAACTAGACTCTGACCAGATCAGCTGCACTTTCGAGACAAGTCTTAAGTTCGATCAGGCTATCACCTACACTGCATCCAAGCTGCCAGCCCTGAAGATAAGAGCAGGATGCCTCCATGAATGCTGCGACCAACCAACTATTGCCGCTTCATGTTCTTGTTCTCTCGCTCTCTCCCTCTCTCTCGATCTGTTTGTCACCCTCTTGACCCCGGACCTACAGTACATGCGCACAAACATGTATACGATGTAGGAATACACGGAAACACACACACACACACACACACACACACACACACGCCCCCACCAATACACAAAGCAAGCAACTGCCTGACAACAGCCATTTATTAGTCAGAGCTGGTTTGTGCGCGCCCCCGAGCCCCTCGAGCAGGAGCGGCCAGAGTCAGTTTCTCTTCAGGGCCTGGGAGTTTGGGGAAAAGGATTCGAGTTTAGGGTTTAGGGTTTAGGGGTTCGTTCGTTTATGGACGTGTTCCGGTTGAAGTTTCGGTGTCTTGGGGGCTTGGTGGCCAAGCTGCGATGCTAAATCTTGATTTGTCACGCGAGCCCCGACGCCAATCGCAGAAGTCCGTACAAGCAAGCAAAGTGTCTTCCTTAAGAAACACCCTCAGTCTGCAGTGGGTTTCAACGGATAATCGATAGGAATATCCTTTGCATGCCGCATGTCGGACTTGGCTTGGCTTGAAAAACACAGTTTAGGGGTTTACCGTAGGGCCGGGTTTACGGTTTAGGACATGAAGCTGGTGTGAGGCTGGCCGATCAGCGACCAAGGAAACGGACAAATTAGAAGTAGCTGCAATGACCAGCGAAGAAGATACCCCACGTCTGCCCCGATGCACTACGATCGAAATCCCGAACCTGCGTCAGTTTTTTGCCAGTATCTCGTTCATGCCATGTCACCTTCAGGAAACCTCCTCTTCATGGCGCTTCGTCATGAGCTCAACTGACCATGTGTGTGGCTTCTTCTCACTGGTTGAGCGGTTCGTCGACAGGAGTCGCTCGTGTAAGGCGCAAGGCTTGGAAGCATCGAGTGGATGTTATATCGTATATATGGGTGGTTGTCAAAATTAGGGTCCCTTTTTGGGTACCCTAAATATTAGGTGCCGTATTATATTACGGACCCATAAAGGGACCATACTGTTGACAACCACCCATATGGTATTGCATGTTAGATGGCTGTTCGGACCGCCTGCCTCGCCGAATTACACTACTAGCTCCATGCTCAAAGACCCGTGCTGCATAGACTAAGCCTTACTTGCTTGCTGGCTTTGTTGGCGTCTGAAAAATGAGTGCACTCAGTGAGCTGCAGTGCTTCACCCGCAAGAGCTGCACTGCTTCTCGGAGTTACAAGTGCAGCTGTGTGGCCGTTCCGACACCAAAGCTCCGAGCGCCAAACTCCTTGATGGCATGCGTTAAAGCCCAATCTCCCAACCTCGAAAACCGATCCCACACCCTACAACTATAAGCCCTATAGACTTCGAAGTGCGTAATGCATGTGTGTGTTTGCATTGGAGTCCGTTGCCACTGGAGATTGTTGCGGAACTTCCAGAATGCCAATATAGTGGAGACCTAAAAGGTGGGGCTGTTTGCTCTAGCATCATAGATAGCCATATATCGGAGTGAGCCAATGGCGACGACGGTTGATGCGGAAGTCATTGCCGGATACATCACCCTGGGCAACTTAGATGGCTTGCGAAAGTTTGCACCACCTAGTTTCGACTGGTGCCAGCCTCTCTCTGAGGAAAGAGTACCAGTACTCGTACATGTAATAAACCAAGGGCTGGCCAATGCAGGTGACAAAAGGCGGGCAAGTCTATTAAAGATCGCGGAATGGCTGCTGAAAGCTGGGGCAGATCCAAGAGACAAGATTCCACTCCCCAACACTAAGCGCTTTCACCTGTGGAAGACAGAAGCTGTCGACAAGACCCTCATCAGTGTTGGATATGCTGGGCACTCTGCTGTTTCCTACGGCTTCGCCTGGCTGGGCCAACTGCAGCTGGGCAAAGGCGGTGCGGATTGGTCGACGAATCGAAAGCATTTGGAAGACGTTGTGGGGCTCTTTGCCGGGACGACAGCTGGCAAGAATCTCCCAGTTGCAGATGTCATCGTGCCTCAAAGTACTGTGGACTTATGGGAGTCGATGCGCGACTTGACTTCCTCACACAACATGATCTTCGAAGCTTCAGACGGGGAGGTGTCGGCACACGACCAGATCCTGGTTCTTGCCTCGCCTGTTTTGAAAGCGATGCTCCAGTGCGCAATGAGGGAGGGCACCAGCAGGCGCATTCAAGTCAAGGATTCCCCATCCGCGGGCGTCTCGCTCTTCCTGGATGTCTTGTACACTAGCTCTACTCACCAGGAACCTGACTACAAGACCATGCTTGTGGCTTTGGACTTGGCGCATCGCTGGCAGGTCCATGGCCCAGTGCAGAGCCTGTGCACCGCACTTCAAAGCACGATTGATGCCGAGAGCTTCGTGCCCATAGCAGAGGCTGCAGTGCTCAAGGGGCTGCCAACACTGGAGCGAGCATGTGCCTCCTTCGGCTGCGCAGATGAGCGTGTGCAGGCGATGCTGAAGAAAGGTGTTCTTCCCGCAGTCGTTCATAAGCTGCTGGGAGGGCCTGAGCATGCCAGTGATGAGCAGCAACAGCCGAAGAAGCGGGTGAGGTTCCACTCGTCATGAGAGCAGCTCGTGCAGCATGAAGCACTGGTAGTTTTAGATCGAGCTACTCTAAATCTCTACTGAGTATGCTGATGTCGGGGCTGGAACTAGCAGTGCAGGGTGCAGTCTTCTTTGCATGTGTCACCCGGTCGCTCGCACCTTGTACCGACTTGAGAAGCCAGAATGGAGAGGGGTCATCTACTATTACCATTATGGAACTAGGTCCCAAAAACCAGAATAAGGATGGTCTCTTGGGACCTAATTCCATAATGGTTGTATATATGGCTGCTCTGGGTTTTTGCAGCAGGCTATGACGCTAAGACCCCGTACTCACAGGGATGTACCTTAACCTACCAAAACCTACTCTTTTTGTAGGGGTCGCTATACATTCCATATTAGGGTTTCGAATAAGAGCCTACAGAAAAGTAGGGTTTGGTAGGTTAAGGCTGAAAATGTGCTAAATGCCCACCAGTTGACTTTGGGATCCACAGTATGGGCCGTTTTGAGGGTCTTAAAGGCGTTAGGGCTTTCAGGGTCTGGGGTGCAAAGCTGCCGTGGTAGAAGCTGACACGAAGCCAGCACAGTGTCCTCTAAATTTAACGAAGACCTGCGAGTATTATCCCACAGGGCCTTTTCCAGCCTGACAGCCTCGAGCGACTTCCACACCAACTCACTCCAAACCAGAAAAACGTACGAACAACACCCATAAACCTTAAACCCTAAACCCTGAAAGCTGGAAGCACCAGAAGCGGCTGAGCTGCAGCCCGGCTGAATCGTTCACAGCCTGAACCTACAAGTGTTCTAAACCCGAAACCCCAAGCCCGAAACCCCACCAACCTCCGAACTATAGAAGCCAAGAGCTTTGAACATCCTACTAGCGAGAGCTCGAGACGTACCCTCCACCCAAAGCCCTAAACCCTAATTCCAGGCTCCAGCCCACGATGCCTAAGTTCCACAAAGGCCGAAAAGCCCCGCTTAGGCTTTGCAGCTTAACAGCCCAAGGGTCGTTGAGGTTTTATGTTGGGACCATAAGACAATAGCGTTTAGGGTTTAGGGTGAGGGTGTACCTAAAGTCTCCATTGGAATTCCTCTTTGCAGGTTTATGTCGGGACCTTGCAAAAATATGGTTCTGCTTCGTTGGCTTAAGGCTTCACGTTTAGGGACCATGTAGCCCATAGGACAGGCAACATGTGATTCCTTTCCGATGATTCCGCTGTTGCTTGTGTAACCTTTTGACTGATTGCCCCAGGTGAGCGAGATGATTGCAGATGTGCCGTGAATGCGGACAAAGAGCGACGCCGAACCAAAAGGGAGGCTTAAGTTTAAGACTTAAGACCATGTTCAGGCACCTAAGCAGCCATAAGGCTTTTTTATGAGGCAGTGGCCACGGTTTTAGACAACCGAAAACGAGAGGCTGAACTATCGGCTTATGGGTCAGGATGTTAAGTTCTGTTGAAAGGCTGCCCAAATCCATGAGCACTTAATCCTAAACCTCTCACCCAAAAAGCAGCAGAAGTTGGGATGCACTGTTGCGAGTCTGATGGTGCGTCTTTGGGGTTAGAAGGCTTGCAGGACTTTGTGATGTCTGCGGTCACAAAGCTACTTTGTTCGTTGCACGACTGGTAGGATTTGCCATGGTGGTCCAGGCATTAGGCACTGTAACTGCTGTAGCATCGATAGCATAGAACCAGGCATAGAGTACACTGTGCCACAGCTGTCCAAAGGCTTGCACAGGCAAGTTGCGGGCTAAGTTCTCAAGCTCATGGACAGCTTTCGCCCACAAGATAAGCCATGAACATGCAATGGAGTACGAAGAGAAGCTCTGCATGTAGCTTTTCTTTCTCAACCTGGCCTCCAGGGTGTATAGTGTCATGTCGTGTTGCCTTTCACTCGCATTCTAGAGACAGGTTCCATGAATCCTATCGCCAGTACAGCAGCCCTGCCAGGACCACGGCCAAAGCTAGGCCAGAAGCGAGAGCAGGGAAGCCTCGCTGCATCGATCGTGCAATAGGCCTAAATAATTACCAATACCATTTTCGGGGTTCCTTATTCATTATGAATATAGTATAAGAACCCCCCGCCCAAGCCCCATTCTAATTATTAAGGCCCCCTATATGGTATACATGTCTACTTATAGGCCATCATAGGCAGCCATCTTGCGACCCTCCGCCGGGCTCTGCATCATGTTACATAGCTAGTCGTAGTGCATCGTAGTGTTTGTGTCGCATACATAGCACGAACCATTTAAAACACAAAAGCGGTCTGAAGGCAGCCATTTATTAGTCAAGATCTCGGTAGTGCCCTGCCCGAGCGCGGAGAAGGAGCGGCTGCGTCACTTTCTTTTCAGGGTCCTAACCTGGATTTATAGGGTTTAGAAGAAACTGCTTAGGGTTGAGGGTTTTTCCTTTGTGTAAGTGTGTCTTCTAGTTCAAGTTTCATAGCCTTCGAGCCCGGTCTTAGGTCCCCCTCCCGGACCCAAACCTTGTGCCTCGGCTTAGTCTGCAAGGCTCACAACCCGCAAACTAGAGTTTAATTGGGGCTTGTGAATTTTTGCATAGGACATGGTGTGCACACAATGTGAACTTGGGCGACATCGTGATGTGCAGCCTGCAATGCTGAGCAGGAACACGTAAGCGCTTTCGCGTAATTGCCATGTTTCGTTCCCCATAGCAAAGCGTAATCCTCTAACCGTGAGTGCTGCAGGGTTAACTTTCGTCATGAGGGCTTGGGTTCAACCACAAAGGAAATGACAAACCGAAGGGTCCAAGTACCCAAGTAGTGGGATTTTATATTCTGAATTGTTCTGGGTACCGACAATTTGGCACCTGAAGCCCTACCATTTCGATAGTGGGACCCTCAGGGAAATGCTGGCAGGTTGGCGGGCCAAGAAAGCACACAAGTCTGAAGTAGCTGCAATATCCATTCAAGAAGACCCCACACTCTGAAATACTTTGCCTAAAGGCCCGGATGCTCCAAGCTCGAGAACCCTACACCCTATAAACCCTATTATAGACCCGAAACTCAAGCCCACCTACCTGCATCAACTCTTCACAACTTTGTTTAACTGCAGGATAGCGCTTCTTCATGACTTTTCGTGACGAGCTCAACCTCCCACGCGCCTGATTTCTTATCGCTTCTTGACAAACTGTTGTGACCGTTTTGCTTGAATAAGTAGACAGGAGGCTTGGAAACTCGGCTGGGTTTCAAGGTCTTTTATGCTAGTTGAATTATAGTGACATCTTCATGCCAGCTTTCCAGAATGCCTAGTAGAGATTCTAGAAGACAGAGCTGTTTGATCTGCCAGTGTAGATCGCCTATCACTGTAGTCATCCAATGGCGACGGTTGATGCGGAAGTCCTTGCCGGGTACATAAAACTGGGCACCTTGGAAGGCTTGCGAAAGTTTGCACCACCTAGTTTCGACTGGAGCCAGCCTCTCTCTGAGGCAAGAGTACCAGCACTCGTACATGTAATAAACCAAGGGCTGGGCAATGCAGGTGACAAAAGGCGGGCAAATCTATTAAAGATCGCGGAATGGCTGCTGAAGGCTGGGGCAGATCCAAGAGACAAGATCCCACTCCCCAACACTAAGCCCTTTGGCTTTGCCCTGTGGCAGACAGATGCAAAGGACGAGACCCGCATTTTTGTTGAATATGCTGGGCAATCCGTTATTTCCTACGGCTTCGCCTGGCTGGGCCAACTGCAGCTGGGCAAAGGCGGTGCGGACTGGTCGACGGACCGAAAGTATGTAGAAGATCTTGTGGCGCTTTTTGCGAGGACGACAGCTAGCAAGAGCCCGCATGGTTCAGATGTCATCGTGCCACAAATTACCGTGGACTTGTGGGAGTCCATCCGGGGTCTGACTTCCTCACACACCGTGATCTTCGAAACCTCCGATGGTGAGGTCTCGGCCCACGACCATGTCCTTGCGGTTGCATCGCCAGTCCTGAAGGCGATGCTTGAGTCTGCAATGAAGGAGGGCACCAGCCGGCGCATTCAAGTTAGGGATTCTTCTTCCTCGGGTGTCTCGCTCTTCCTGGATGTCTTGTACACCAGCTCCACTCGCGAGGATCCTGACCATAAGGCAATGCTTGTGGCCCTGGACTTGGCCCACCGCTGGCAAGTCAATGGTGTTGTGCGAACGTTATGCTCCGCACTGTGTGACATGATCGACATCAACAGCTTCGCGGCTATCGCGGAGGCTGCAGCTCTCAAAGGGCTGGAGATGCTAGTGAGAGCATGTGTCTCTTTTGGCTCCAAAAACGGACAGGTGCAAGAAATGCTCAAGCAAGGTAGTCTCCCTGCGGCTGTGCGGAAGCTGCTCGGAGAGCCTGAGCCTGAAATGCTTTATGTTGAGCAACAGCCGAAGAAGCGACGGGTTTTTCGGTGAGCGTAAGCAGAATAGTACACTTGGTTTTTGCCGTACATTGCTATCATACCGTAATTTTAATAGGCAGCCCCAAAATGGTGATGGTAATTGCTCCAAGCCTGTCGCTCGTCTTCGCTTGACATGGTGAAACCATGCTGCCTGCGCCGGGCCAAGTCTGCCCTGCAGTTGTCAACCATTTTAACTTCCAGATCCGTCAACCAAACCCTAAACCCTAAACCCTAAACCCCTAAACCCTAAACCCTAAATCCTGAACTGTGGCTCCCAAGCCCCCTTAAAGAGAGTAGGTTATCGCTCGAAATCGTATTTCAGGTGTGGGTCATTGGATCCACAGGTCAAGGAAGGCCTCTTCGGTTCTGCCTCCTCGCTGCAGAGACTTCTATGCAGCCGACGTCGACTTGCAAACAACCGCTTTCTGCTTGTAGCTTGGGGTTTCGGGGTCTACGCTTTAGGGCTGTCTAGGTTTTATGCGGCGTTAAATTTGAAGTCCTTCTAGACCCTTACAGGACCTTTGGAATCTTCCAGGGGGTGGACTCGGAACGTGTTAGGACACGGTTTAGGGTTTAGGGTTTAGGGTTTAGGCCTCATAGCCCACCCGTTCCTAAGCTGGAGCCGTCCCTGTCACAAAGCTTTGATCCGCTTCAAACTCCCTCGGCCCCAGAAGCTGGAAGTATACAGTGTCATTGGGAGTTTCCGAAAATAGGGGGACCCTTGTTTTGGGGTCCTTATAATAAGGGTCCTACTATTTAGGATACTATATTAGGGTCCCCTATTTTCGGAAACCCTCACTTGAGCTCCAAAGTCTGATTCGATCCCGGGAATCCCGCTATCATCTACAGCTTCGACCCACAAGTGCGTAAGCCAGAAGCCCTGAACCTTAAGCCCTCGAAATGGTGCCGGGTTTAGGGTTTCTGCTTTGGGCTCACGGTTTCTTAATCTTGAGTCCTCCACCTTTGAAACTTTGCGGAAAGCGCTGTGACCGATGCCTCGTCTGTAGGGTCCCATTTCTTGAGTCACTAGTTACTAGGCTGATCAGTAGGATTGAAGCAAAGACAAGTCTATGGTAGGCCAGTTCAGTTTGATGGTTCATGGACCTTGTATAGCTACAACAGCATACCTGTCGTGCAGCATGCCACCTCAATACATGTATGTATCTATCTATCTATCTATCTATCTATCTATGTATCTATCTACCTATATAGATAAAACAGACTAGTTTACATATATGATATCTTATGTAATATTGCATTCTGACATATCCTATTGTTTTGCATGATATTATATTACTGTAATTGAAATTGGGGAGTCGGGTCAGGCTTGCAGACTTGAGGTTCGAATCTGACCTCCACGGCGCTGGGCCCTAGGGTTTGGGGTTTTGGGGTTTGGGGTTTAGGGTTTTGGGGTTTAGGATTTGGGGTTTGGGGTTTGGGGTTTAGGGTTTTACTTGTACTCTCCGATGTCAGCCCAGTTTCTGGTTACAGGAGCTAGCAACCATTTCCATGGCCGAGAACCGTTGATAAGGGGACGAGGTAACAATAAAACGGGGTACTACTACGGCTTGTAGAGCCAGAATGAAACCCTAAACCCTTAACCCTAAACCCCTAAACCCTAAACCCTAAAACCCTAAACCCTAAACCCTATTCCTAATACTGTCGGCAGGTGTAATGAGTTTGGTTGGCAGCCTCGGCCTGTCCTTACCGAATCCGCTTGTAGACTTAACTGCAACAGCGTATACTTACTACAGCTACCTCTAGGCCCTAAAGTAGTTCCTTTTGGGGTTCATATTTAGAATCCTATTAGGGAATCCCAAAAAGGAACTACTTTAGGGCCTATGGGTAGTCCCACCGAGGCTTCCCACCCGTGGACCCGTATGATAACCCCTAAACGCCCTAAAACCTAACACCTTAGACCCTTTGAAGCCCCTTTTTGGGCCTTGAAGCCCGAAACCCCGGGCTGCAGAAATGAAGGATGTGAGCTGACCTGCGCACGCATGACCCGCATGGAAGGATTTGAGGCGGCAATCGCCACCCACCCACACACACACACATTCGCACGCGCGCGCGCGCGTGCGACATGTGCTGAATACCGAAAGATGCCAGGTCGTAGTGATTCTCCGTAGCCGGTCTACCTTTGGATCTTCAAACAGGGAGTTTGACCGATTTTTGTTAGGGCCACTTACTTTAGGTCGGGTTCGGGAGCGCATCGGGAGTTCGGCTTTCGGGTCTACGATTTGGGCTTACTGGACAGGGGGTGCCCATCAGCGAGGGTCGTTTGCAGGGAATTTCCGGGAGCCATGACTGCGACGATTGATGCGGAGATGGTGTGCGGTCTTATTGAAATGGGAGATCTGGAAGGGTTGCAGGAGTTCAGCCCGCTCGATTTCGACTGGGCGCAGCCTTTAGGCGCAAAAGAAACTACCTGCACTCTTCCTAGCCATTCACACAGGTCTGAGTCCTGAGACAGCAACACACGATCAGTGTCTCAAGATTGTGGGTTGGCTTCTGAAGGTTGGGGCTGATCCAGCACAGAGGCTTCCTGACGATTTTGTCTCCATTACAGAGCTTTTCGGCAAGAACAAAAAAGCAACACTCATTGAGGTTGAATATGCCGGGCATTCTTGCATGTCTCTTGCTGTTACATGGCTTGGAAAGATGAAGCTGCGCAAGGGCGGCATGGAGTGGTCAGACGATGAAAAGTTCTTGAAGAGCGTCATTGCTCTTCTTTCGCGCTCGGCAGCTGCGAAGAATCCCAGAGCTGCGGATGTCACCGTGCCTCAGATTACCCTGGACCTGTGGGAGTCCATCCGGCATCTGACCTCCTCACACAACGTGATCTTCGAAACCTCCGATGGTGAGGTCTCGGCCCACGACCATGTCCTTGCGGTTGCATCGCCAGTCCTGAAGGCGATGCTTGAGTCTGCAATGAAGGAAGGCACCAGCCGGCGCATTCAAGTTAAGGATTCTTCTTCCTCGGGTGTCTCGCTCTTCCTGGATGTCTTGTACACCAGCTCCACTCGCGAGGATCCTGACCATAAGGCAATGCTTGTGGCCCTGGACTTGGCCCACCGCTGGCAAATCCATGGTGTCGTGCAGGCATTGTCTGTTGCCCTCCGCGACGTGATCGATGCCAAGAACTTCGTGCCTATTGCAGTGGCCGCAGCTCTCAACAACCTGGAAACCCTAGAGAGGGCATGTGCCTCTTTCGGCTCCAAAAACAAGCAAGTTCAAGCGATGCTGAAGAAAGGAGGTCTCCCAGTGTGCGTGCGAAAGTTATTGGGACAGGCTGAGCCCGACAGTGATGAGCCAGAGTCGAAGAAACGACGGCTCTTCCGCTCCTCTTGATAACCTTTTGCTTCTCAGGTGTCATGTCCTATGTGGGGGTTTCAGAAAATAGGGGACCCTAATATAATACCCTAAATAGTAGGATCCTTATTATAAGGGCCCCAAAATACGGTACCCCTTATTTCGGAAACTCCCATGTGTAACTATAGTTACCTAGCCATCATCACTGGGTGTGGACTTGCCCAAGGAATGCAAATGATAGGTGTTTCATCACGCGACCGGCGAGTTGTAGTCGGCCTGTTACGAGCTGCGAGAGCTTGCTGAAAACAGCCCATGCATGGCCGAGTTGATGACACGCGTGCAACGTGGATAAGTTTTGTGAACCCTAAACCCTAAACCCGAAACCGTTTCTCAGGTCTGCTCCGGGCGGCCCGCTTTGCTGGCCGGACGAGCGCCGTCCGGTGGAGTGCACTGGCGGTGACAGCCGGATCAGGTGCCGGGTCGGTTTATAGGGCTCTGGGTTTTGGATTTTGGGGCTCTTATAAGGGTTTAGGGCTCAGGATTTGGGGGTTAAGGGTTTAGGGCTCAGTGTTTTTGATTTTAGGGCTCTTAGGGTTTAGGGCTCTGGGTTTTTGATGTTTAGGGCTTAAGGTTTGTAGGTTTGTAGGGTTGTAGGGTTTAGGGTTTTAGGGTTTAGGGTTTAGGATTTAGGGCTCTTAGGGTTTTGGGGTTACGATTTGGGGTTAAGGGTTTAGGGCTTTAGGGTTTTAGGGTTTTAGGGTTTAGGACTTTGAGTTAAGCGTTTGGGGTTGAGGGGTTGGAAGTGTCGTGGGGCGTCAAATATTTGCAGGGTTTTTCAGTCTTTTCAGGATCCACAGGGTGTGGAGTTGTTGTCGTGGTGTTTTGAATGTTCGGGTGTTAAGGGTTTGTTTACGGTAGATAGGGTTGCGTGGTTTTGCTCTTTAGGGCATCTGCCCCGCCAGACTCCGTTCCTCTTTACATGGGGCCTCGTGTCACTTTAGCTTCAACGTAAGTCCTAAACCCCTAAACCCTAAATCCCTAAACCCTAAGCCCTAAACCCCTAAACCCCTAAATCCCTAAACCCTAAGCCTTAAACCCCTAAACCCCCTAAATCCCTAAACCCTAAGCCCTAAACCCCTAAACCCCTAAATCCCTAAACCCTATATAAGCCTACACCCCTAAACCCCTCAACCCTACACCCCTAAACCCTAAACCCTAAATCCCTAAACCCGAAGCCCTAACCCCTAAACTCCTAAATCCCTAAACCCTAAGCCCTAAACCCCTAAACCCCTAAATCCCTAAACCCCAAGCCTAAACCCCTAAACCCCCGAACCCTAAACCCCTCAACCCTAAACCCTGGTCTTTTCGTTCCTTGATTGGGCGCTCTGGCTTGAAGCCACTCCCAAGTCTACCTATAGTCTCCATTGGTAGTTCCTTTTCTTAGGAGCCCAGTAGGTAAACTTTAAACTTTTTGGTATATTAAACCCCCTACTAAAAGAAAAGTTTAAGCT